CTCTACGGAAAACAATGGTCAGGGATTTGAACCATCTTTCCAAAGTGGGTATATTATATTTTGGGGGGGAGAAAGAGGGAAACCAGCAAATGCAATAATCTTTGATCAAAGACTAAGGATACTATTTTTAGAAATATTTCAGTAAAAATATTTAGAAAAAGGGAGGTTAAGATATCTAGTACGTAAGCATTAAAAATAATTAAGAGGGGGAAAAAACCTAGTTGTATGCTGCAGAAAGAGAGACTTCATCTTGAGCCACCAGGATTTTAAGCCATCAACAAGAAATTACCAAATGTGCAAAGAGAATACGGTTTTGAATCATTTGCATAAGTGAAATGCTGTACCATAAATAAACCATTTTAAACGTGTAACAAATTATTAACAATCCCATTGAAAATCAAGCATTCACATCTTGGAAAATGGATTTCAAATTTACCACAGCACCAAAAAAACCCTGACATAACCAGTTTTCTCACTTAGAACACTTGTAGCATTTCCACAGTCACATGATCAGAATTCAGGCGCTTGCCAACTGGTATGTGTTTATGGCAGCTGCACTGTCCTGGGGTCATGTGATCACCTTTTGTAACCTTCCCAGCCAGTTTCTGACCAGTAAAGTCAATAACGGAAACCATTTTAAGTGCGCGATTCACTTAATAAGTGCAGTGGTTCACTTAACAATTGCGGCAAAAATAGCTGTAAAATCAAAAGTTACTTCATACCTGCCTCACTTAGCAACAGTAATGTTGGACTCAGTTGTGGTTGTAAGTCAAGGACAACCTGTATTGCCTCTAATTAAAAACAAAACAAAACTATTTCCTAAGATGTGGATGCTTGGTTTTCAATGGAAGAGTTAATAATTTGGTATACATTTAAAATGGTTTCTTTATGGTATCTGCACTTTATAGAACCCACTCCCTTAACCACCCTACCTCACAGAGTTGTTGATGTGGAGAAGATAGGAGGAAGGGGCCTTTTGTACAAATTAAATGCAGGACACAAATTGGATAAGTAAGGGTTAGGGCTAGGGTTAGGACACAAATCGGGTAAGTTGCTAGACAGCAGGCCAACACAAATCTGAGGCTCGTTTGGCCAGTAATCAGCTTAAAATACTTCTAATTATTCAAGTAACCAAAATACTTGTAGCTATTTTAAAAGCTCATGTTTTGGGCAACTATGGAATGGGGACATTTGGCTTGTCTCCTTTGACCCCAGTTGGATGAGAGTTGGGGGAGAATGTGAGTTGGCTTCACCACTGTTGGAACAGGGAGGAATGGATAAGTCTCATTAGAATCGTCACAATGATGTATCTGGCATTGGTAAGTAAAGGTAAAGGTTCCCCATCCACATATGTGCTAATTGTTTCCGGCTCTAGCGGGCAGTGCTCATCTCCGTTACAAAGCCAAAGGGCCAGCAGTGCCCGAAGACGTCTCCGTGGTCATGTGGCCGGCATGACTAAACGCCAAAGGCACATGGAACGCTGTTACCTTCCCACCAAAATGGGCCCTATTTTTCTACTTGCATTTTTACATGCTTTCGAACTGCTTAGTTGGCAGAAACTGGGACAAGTAAATGGGAGCTCACTCCATTACGCGGCGCTAGGGATTCGAACCACCGAACTGCTGACCTTTCTGATCGACAAGCTCAGCTTCTTAGCCACTGAGCCACCGCGCCCCTTTCTGGCCTTGGTAGAAATAACAGAATAATAGGAAGGGATCTTGGAGGTCTTCAGATTTCAATCATCTGCTCAAGCAGGAGGCCCATCCTGTTCCAGACAAGGGGCTGTCCAGTGTCTTCTTAAAAGCCTCCAGTGATGGAGGACACACTATTTCTCCAGGCAAACAGAATCTTTGGGATCTGAATTCTGCTTCTGCATCCCAATGGAGAAGATCAGCTCCACTGTGTCGGGTGACAGGAATTGCTCCAATGGGGTGCAGGAATGAAGAACTTTGGGGTCTGAGATCCAGATTCTGCATCTTGCTGGAGGAGTTTGCTCTCCTCCAGGGATGGAAAGGAACGATTTGGTGGACGGTGATAATACCTGAGCTGTGTTTCCAAAGATCGGAAGATCTTCTGTGAGCAGAAAATCCCAACTCTAAAGAATGAATTGGGAAGTTGCAAAAACATTTCAGAAACGATAGCAAGCTATTTCTGCCTAGTTAACAAAACTACATGAACTACTCCACCTATTCTAATTTTTACTTGATTCATTTCTTCAGAACTATTCTTTAGCATTCAGAGCAGTTACTAAGTGAGTAATTCTTAAAAGTAATCTCATTTATATTTGTAATGATGGACATTTTTAAAAATGAAATAGTTCAGCTAAAAGCTGAATCTCAGTCTTGTCCATCTTAGTTTGTAGAAGTGGTACTTTTAAATCTTGGCATTGTTTGTGCTCTTTAATATTACCTTTTTATTGTATCACAAATGAAATACATTGTACTTTGCTGTGGTAAAACATTAAGTGAAAATTAAAATTAATTAAAGTCTGGTTAAAATACAGTTTTTATTTTAATCAGTCACGATCTTTGAAGAAACTGAAGTGACTCATTACTAGTTTAAAGTTGATGCTTCATTATCTGCTTGTTAAAAATCTGCCTCATACAAGCAGAGATTGTTGTGGAATAGTGTTGCCATGACTTCATAATATTTTCCTAAATATGCTTATTTTTATTTAGTCATTGCATAGCATTAGTGCTGGGAACAGGTTTTAGTATTAATTTATTCTTAGTCCATGAGAAAGTGGTTTATTAATAGAAATGCTTTGATTTCTCTGTTTCAAAAAAATGTGTATGGTTTTATCATTAATGTAAAAGTAAAACGAAAAGCTTTACATGATTTGTACAAATATATTTTTAAACATGATATAATGGATTTTAAGATATGTTTAAATACATATCATATAGGATTAAAAATCTTATAATCTTTTGGACTCTTCAATTTATTTTCATTTTCAACCATTCTGTTTGCAAATTTTTCAATCTTATCTTTGCCACTTCCCTCTTATTTAAATAATGGGTTGAAAATCTTGCTGGGTTTTATTCTGGGCCTTAATATCATACTAATGATTTTGTTTGTCTTCTATCATCTCCATTTTCCTTCTGTAGTACTGTGTATGACTTCAGATCGTGCATATTTTTCCTTGGCATGAAAAACTAGTGAAATTCTCTGGATCTGCATCTTTCTTGGTCTACCTTTCCTTTACCATATCAAAGTGCTTCAGCAATGCAGAGCAGAAATTTGGCGCCTGATCCGTTAGCATATCATTGGGTGTACCTATCCTACTGAACAGCTTCAGCACAGTATTTCATTAGCAATGACTTTGCAATTAATATCTACAAGGTTGTCTTGTTCTATAACCAAAGATACAGAATACAGGCAGTCCTCTACTTATAACCACAATGGAGCCCAAGATTTCTGTGGCTAACTGAGGCAGTTGTTGAGTGAATTTTGCCTTATTTTATGACCTTTCTTGCCATACTTGCTAAGTGAATCACTGCAGTTCAGTTAACAATTGTTAAGTTAATCTGACTTGCCCATTGACTTCGCTTGTCAGAAGGTTGGAAAAGGTGATCACACGACCCCGAGAAACTACAACTGTCATAAATATTAGTCAGTTGTCAAATATTTAGATTTTGATCACACGATCATGGAGATGATGCAACAGCCGTATGTTTTTTAAAAATGGTCATAAGTCATTTTTTTTAGTAAATTCAAACAGTCACTAAAGGAACTGTTGTAAGTTGAGGTCTCCCTCTGCAAGATAACAGAGTTGGAAGGGACTTGGGAGATCTTCTAGTTCAATCTCCTGCCCATTTGTCTTGAATTGTATAATTCTATATGATTCCAGACAAATGTCTGTCCAATTTCTTCTTCTCCGGTGATGAAGCATCCACAAATTCTGAAGTCAAGTTGTCCCACTGATTAATTGTTCTTGCTGTCTGGAAATTCCTCCTTAGTTTTAGGTTGGATCTCTCTTGGATAAGTTTCCATCCATTACTTCTTGTCTTCCCCTCAGTGCTTTGGAGAATAGATTGTCTTGCTTTTCTTTGTGAAAGCCTTTCAAATATTTGAAGACTGCTATAATGTCATCCCTAATTCTTCTTCTGGTTAGAATAGACATACTCAGTTCCTGCAACCGTTCGTCATATGTTTTAGCCTTCAGACTGCAAATCATCTTTTTGTTCTTCTCTGCACTCTTTCTAAAGCCTCAACATCTTTTTTGTATCGTGGTGATATAACTGGACACAGGATTTCATGGATGGTTTTACCAAGGCAGTATATAGCAGTACTATCACTTCACATGATCTTGATATTATTCTTCTGTTGATTCAGTCTAGGACTGCATTGGCTTTTTTGGCAGCTGCAGCACACTGCTGGCTCATACTTAAATGCTTGTCTACTGGGACTCCCAGAACCCTTTTACAGTTACTACAGTTACTACTGTTGAGCCAAACATCCAGCCTAGTCTATATCTGTGCATTTGTTTTTTCTTGCCTTTTCTCACCAGTGAATTGCATTTTGTTGGATAGGGCCCAGTGTTCAAGTCCATCGAGATCCTTCTCTGTCAAGAACTTCTAAAGTGTTGGCTATTTCCCCTGGCATGGTGTTGTCCACAAATTTGGTGAGTGGCCTTTTTCTATCTCTTCATCTAAAGCAGGGATGTCAAACTCGATTTTATTGAGGGCCACATGACAGTTGTGTTTGACCTTGGGGGGGCGGGGTGGGCATGGCCAGGGTGGGTGTGGCCAGCTCAACGTCATTCGTATCGGGGGCACCTGTGGTGGCCCAAGTGCTCTTCTAGCGAAAACGGGCTCCCGAGCTCCGTTTCGACTGCAACAGACTCTTGCAACCCTCTACCAGCGAAAATGGAGCATGGGAGAGCTGAACAGAGCCCTCCTGAGCTCCGTTTTCTCTAGCAGAGGCACTGCAGGCTAATCCAGGGCAGTCCTGTGGGCCACATCTAAGCACCCCGTGGGCCGGATCCACCCCTTGAGTTTGACACCCCTGATCTAACTGAAGATGTTGGAAGAGCACTGGGCCTAAGACAGAACTTTGGGTACCGCATTGCTAACTTTCCTCTGTGTAAATATAGTTCCATTGAGGACTACATGTTGAATGTGGTTTGTCAGCCAGTTGCGAATCCATCTGGTAGTGATAGCTGTTAGCTGTCTATCCCACATTTTTGGGGCTGTTTTTTTTTCCTTTTGTGTACAGTCAGATGCAAAGAATGAATTAAGCAGTTCTCCTTCCTCGCTTTCACCTCCTTATCATTTTCTCCCATTAGCAGACTCATTTTTTTTCCCCTTGACGTGTTTCTTGATTTTTACACGTTGAAAGAAACTTTTTTAATTATTATTTTTGACATTTGTTGCAACTCTTAATTCCTTCCAGGCCTTAGCTTTCCTGACTGTATCTTTGCAGATTCGGGCTACCTGCTGGTATGCTGCCTCAGTTATGTGCCCCCTTTCCATTTTTTATACTTTTCTTTTTGTCTTTCAGTTTAACAAACATGTCTCTTTCAGGCCAATCTCTGGCACGTTGAACTGGGTATCTCCTATCTCAGTCTTCTGATCCCCCCAGAACCCTCTGCATGAGGTAGATTTTGTTCCACACCTGGCCTCACTTCCATTCAGAACAATTCTCTGGATTGCCTGCTTCTCTCCTTTTGGAAGGAGAGAAGAATATTCAGTGAACATCTTACTGTCCATTGCTCTTCCTCGCTCTTCCTCAAGAGTCTTACAAAAGTCTCACAGAGGTCATAAAGCACGTGTAGTTTCTACCTTTAATTCCCAATAAATATTTTAAGAAGAGGAAAATATACAGTGAACACCTTATTGTACCTCGCTCTTCCTCAAGAGTCTTACAAAAGTCTCACAGAGGTCATAAAGCACTTGTAGTTTCTACCTTTAATTCCCAATAAATATTTTAAGAAGAGGAAAATATTCAGTGAACACCTTATTGTACCTCGCTCTTCCTCAAGAGTCTTACAAAAGTCTCACAGAGGTCATAAAGCACTTGTAGTTTCTACCTTTAGTTCCCAATAAATATTTGAAGAGGAGGAAAACATTCAGTGAACATCTTATTGTACCTCGCTCTTCCCCAAGAGTCTTCCAAGCTGCTCTTAAAAGCAACAATGCCAATATTCATTTCATCCCAGGAGGCAGCATTGCCAGTCTCTTACAGATTTTATAGATTTTCAGCAGCTCGTGTTGCCTAAATCCATCTTAAATTTGCCAGCCAGCACGTCCTCCCTATTAGGTTTCTCTTTCTTCCTCATCCCATGGTTCCCCCCTCTCCCTTTTAAAAAACTATCTCTGCCAACTCAGCATCCCCACTTCCTTTTCCCTATTCTTAATTTCTACCTAGTTCACTAGAAGAAAGTGAGGGTGTTTGGTCTGCCTTTGTACCTCCCGAACAAATTCAGGAGAGGCATGGCACAATATACAAAACAAATAAAACCACAATATACAAAATCAATAGTTCTTTTGACGCAAATGAAATAACAGGGATTGGTCAAGGGAAGAAATGTAGAATTGGCACTATTGTAGAAGAAATATAGTGCTAGAAAAGAATGGTCTTGAAGCCCAAATAAATCCCAGTTATTTTAGTCATGTAGTCCCCAAATATGCTTAGGTAATCAAAAATTTTAAAAAATGCAATCCATGCCTATAAAGACTGTTATATAGCTTAAAACAAGATTACCAAGGACAGTGTTTGTTATTGGACATAAATTAATAGTATGAAGATTGGAATGGGCAAGAAATTTCTGATGAATCTTAGCTATTGGGTGTTTAGATTCGATCAACAAAAGCTGTATTTCAAGGCAAAAACAAGTACAAAGAGTCAAAGGAGTGACTCTTTAAGATTGTTTATATTGCAAGTTAAACTTCAAGATTAAGCTTTTCTTTTTATCCCACTGAAGCTCTGGAATGATTACTCAGCTTTATGTTAAGTTAGAAGCTAAGCAGACATTTGTCAGCAGATCTCAGAGTGCAATTTTATGTCATGGAAGAAACACGTACACATTGCGGCTGTTGATTCCTCTGCAGTTTTCTGAGACGTAATCGTTGTTTCAATTAGTCTCTCTCATCATTTCTCAAGAATGAAACTGTTAGAATGGATTCTTGGGGCAGAATGTCACAGTTCACGTCCACCGAAAAATATTCAGGAAAGCGCCAGTGATGCCCAGGCTTTGCCATAGCTGATGTCATTAAGAGAGATCAAAGGGGTTGCATCAGAAAAATTCACTTCCAGTTTTCTGACTAGCCAAATTTATGATAGCTGCTGTACTGTAAGATCTCATCAAGAGCTCTGCTATTCTGATGCAACATGACTTTGACATATGTTTTTTTCAGTTTTAACATTAAATGTATAGTTGCCCTTTAACATTTTATTGGTGTTAGCAGTCACCAGGATTTTATAAGGCCATGTTTGGCAGGATAAAAGAGATATCAAATTGTATTTTTTTTTTGTAAAGAAACGAGAGAAAATGTGTTTCTTATTAAACCATGTTTTTGTTTTTAATTTGCAGAATTTGAAGAACCAGGATTTACGGACACTGGATTGAGACAAGGTGGCTTGAGATGTCTGGCTCTTATGAGGATTCTGTTGAGGTTTTTAGTGGTAGCTTTTGGGAGGTAATTATAATTTTGTTTAAGCGTGTCTGAAACAGAATGTTGATCGGCGGGTTGTGTAAAACATTGTGAGCTCAAAATGTTTGCAGTGTTATGAACTTGAAACAGGAACACAGCTGTACTATAAAACAAATTCAATGATTGGGGGAGTGTCTTTTCAGAAATGTGCTAAAAAATTAATTGCTGCTACAGATAGTCCCTGATTTGTGATCAATCATTTAATGATCAATTGTAATTACAATTACTTCAAAAAGAGTGCTTTACAACTGAGACTGACTGGGTTAAAGTCACCCAGCCAGCTTTTCCTCACCGGCTTTCATGCCTAAGGCAGAATGAGTACAGGGGCACAGTGGTTAGAGTGCAGTACTGCAGGCCACTTCTGCTGACTGCAGGCTGCCTGCAATTTGGCAGTTCAAATCCCACCAGGCTCAAGGTTGATTCTGTTCTGACCAAGGGTTCCTAGACCGTAATTATGCACACGCTTATTTTAAAAACAAGTCTAATTTTATTGCAATGCTGGAAATTGTTTTCATTCCCATCCGGAATTAATCTCAAACAGTCCCTCGAGATAAGCACCCACCTTTCTTTTCCTGTGAAGTGCTGCCAATAATAGAAATATCAAATGAACTAGGAAAAAAAACAATCAAAGTACAAAGAGCTTCAAGAATGAATCTGAATCAAACGAACAACTTTGCTTCCTGCAAAGGTTTCGTCCTCTTTGACTGTCCTGTACACCTTATGGGGGTGGGGCAATCACCTCCCAGCCTTACTCCCCAGTCGCCCCTTTTTTCCCAGCTGCTCTCGCCTTCTAGCATCTCTGTGCACACGCGCACTGGGAACAGGCTCCCCTTGTTCTTCTGCCTCACTGCTGCCAGACTCTGAAGGCTCTGGAGTCAGCACCCCGCTCCCAGATGGTCCTGGCCCCATCTCTGCATCGGATGCAGGACCCTCATCCGAGTCCTCGCCAGACTCCTGGTCTGATCCCCGTTCTTCCCCACTGTTTGATTCCTCTGCCATCCGCACAGGCTGCCGGCAAACCACAAGAGATTCAGCCTTCCATCCTTCCGAGTTGGGTAAAATGGAAGTTCAGTCATGTACGTTAAAAAAAAATGAAGGCAATTTGATTCCAGCTGAAATGCATTTGGTTGGTTTTCACCAAACTGGAAACTAGTTTTGACATTGCAAGATGCATTTGTAAACGTTTTATCCTTTTGATAGGTTGGAAATTACAAGCGGACAGTGAGGCGCATCGATGATGGATATAGACTTTGTGGTGATCTTATGAACTGTATTCATGAGCGTGCAAGAATAGAGAAGGCTTATGCTCAACAGTTAACCGAATGGGCAAAACGATGGAGACAACTTGTAGAAAAAGGTAAACATGATCATACTTGGGCATATCTTTTGGACCTCTTTTGACTACAGAAAATAGGTGTTCCAAGCACTGTTTTATCAAACTGGGGGTATTTTCAATTTTAAACAGTTTGTTTCTTCTTTGGAACTTTTCTAGAAAGATTGAAAGACCACAAGAACACTTTCCTCTTAGATCAAAATGGCTAAATTTATGTTTTACAGGCAAAGAAATAAAGGTAGACTAGTATAGATCTGTTTCAAGCTATTTAGCTCTCATCAGTTAGCCATACCCTTCTGGGATTTGAACCCAGGCTACCTGCATATTAGGTAGATGTATTAACCTCTAAGCCACAGGCTCTCTTCTCTTTGTCAGCTATAGCAGGGGAAAGTTTTTTTTGTCAGGGCAACTTGGTCTATCCAATTATGGGATGGAGCATACTGCTTCTGTGGAAGCAGTATGTTCCATCCCATAATTGGGTAGACCAAGTTACTCTGACAAAAAACAATCAAAATGGCTAGTTTCGAATTCAAACATTTTGCATACTTCTTGTGACAGTATTTAGCCAACCTTGTTTGGGCTTGGAAACTAACCAGTTTTGGGGGTAGTATTTGAGTGGACATATCCATAGAACACAGGGCTGTAGATGTGTTGTTGATATTTGTCAGGTGTGAACAACTAGATCCAGATGGGAAGAGTTCAAGTAGCTACTTCATTGCTTATTCCTATTTTATAGGAATCTTTTCAGATTTACAATTTACACCTGGGCCAGACTAGATAAGGTTCAGCTGCATTCAAGGCAGGGAGTGGAGGGAATCATCTGATATATAAAAAGAAATACTAGGATTTAAATTTGGCTCAGAAGTGGAAAACCCATCCCAAACGAAGGTGCAGGCAAACCATTTTCATTTCCATTTCCCCCCCAAAAATCATCCTGGATATATCAGTGACATTTGCAGGAGTCAAGCTTCAGGGAATATACTTACAATTTTTATCAAATGACCCGGAAGCTGATTTGTACGAAGGCTTTTAAAAAAGTAAATAAAACAGAAAATTTTGCAAATGTTTGCTTAACCATTTTAATCCTTAATCCTACATGGATCCTTTCAGATCTTTGCACTCCATTTGTGGAGGTAATAAATGACAAAGAAATACAAATAACATCTTGATAATACTTCAGAGAAACCATCAGTGGAATATATATTTATGCCAAAAATCTGTTTTTTTTAATTATGTTAAGAAATATAGTTTCATAACAGACTTTACATATTGTAGAGTGTTTACTTTTGCATTGATTTCAGTTTGCTGTATTGAGCCAGGTATGTGCCCGGACAATTCTCATATTTGGGATTGCACAGAAGGTATCTTGATTCAGTTCTTTTGGGTGAATATTTAGCAGTTCCTTTATTTAGTTTTTTTTTACTACTGTACCTTCTAACAAGATAGCTTACTTTTTTTCAATTGGTCCCCTTTCACTCTAATTTGTTAACAATACAGTTATTCCTTTCCTGCCAATTTTCACCCAAGATTACCCTTGCCATTGATCATTGATTCTCCGAATAGCCTAGTTCTGCACTCTCATTATTTCCATTTCTATCACGTAGAAGCATAGTGTTGGGGGGGGACATTTGAGGTCTTTTAGTCCAACCCTTTGCTCAAGACAGAAGACCTTTGACAAATGGTTGTCCAATCTTTTATTGAAAACCTCCGGCTATGCAGCACCTACAATTTTGGGAGCCAAAATGTTCCATTGTTTAACAGTGTTCTCTCTGTCTCTCTGTCTCTCTGTCTCTCTCTCTCTCTCTCTCTCTCTCTCTCTCTCACACACACACACACACACACACACACACACACACACACACACAGAGTTAAGGGTGTAGAAGTTACAGGACATTGGAGGAAAGCGTTCATGTCACACTTGAATTCACCGTAACGCAACTACAGATAACTGAACCAATCTCACTAGTATTTTAAACCTTAAGAGTGCTGATTTCAACAGATTAAGAGCTAGCCTAGAAAGGAATTCATGGATGGAAATCCTAAGAAGGAAAAACAGTTCAAGATTTGCAATAGTGACAAATATCTGTAGCTCTGGTTTAGGATGAGGGTGAAGGTGCATCCTCCGAGTTTGTGGGTTGGTTTCCAAATGTTTCATTACCAGGCTAGGCAACATCTTCAGTGGAGTTGAGGGGTGTCAGTGTCGGTGTTGTTCTGTTTATAAGGGCTTCAGGTGTGGATATGTCAAGTGAGGGTGTTGTGATGGGTCATCTGTGAGTCATCAGTGAGAGTCCTGTGATAGGGAGGATACATTAGGTCAGGGTTGTTGGAAGGTGCTGTTGGGGAACGGGAGTTGCATGGTATGGTTGAGGGTCAGTGCTGTCTCTGGATGGCTGTGCAGTTATTTGGATTCCGAGGAGTTCATAGACATGATGGAATTGCTTGCGGAGTGCCTGGCTTCGATGAACTCACAAGCATGGTGGGTGGTAGGGTGGCCAGTGATTTTTTTGTGTTGTTCTAATCAAACTGGTGCTGTTTGGCGTCGATGTGGGTAGAGACGGGAGGATTTGAGATCATGGCGTTTGACCACCAGCTGGTGTTTTATTTATTTATTTGATTTGATTTGTCAATCTCTTACAAGATCATAGGTATAAGTATAAACATGAGTAAGAATACAGGAAATAGGTACAAATAAATGGGGACACTAAGACGGGGACAGGAGGCACGATGGTGCATTTATGCATGCCCCTTACAGACCTCTTAGGAATGGGGTGTGGTCAATAGTGGATAGTTTAAGGTTAAAGGAGTGGGAGTTTGAGGATGTAACAACAGAGTCAGGTAGTGCATTCCAGGCATTGACCACTCTGTTGCTGAAGTTGTACTTTCTGCAATCCAGTTTGAAGTGGTTTACATTGGGTTTGTGTCTGTTGTGTGCTCTTGTATTGTTGTGGTTGGAGCTGAATTAGTCATTGACTGGTAGGACATTGTAGCAGATAATTTTGTGTGCTACGCTTAAATCTAACTATAGGCGGCGTAGTTCAAGGTTGTCCAAGCCCAAAATCTGGTGATATAGGGACCCTGTTTTTTAATTGACGTGATGTTTGTCCCAGGTAGAATTGGTGACAATGGTGACAGTTGATTTTGTAGATTACATTGTTTCTTTCCTCCTTCTGTATCTTGTCTTTGGTTTTGGATAATCCCTGGTAGGGTGTGGCTGACTCTAGAGCTTTGCTTCTAATTCATTACTTGTTCAACAAATTGTAGTTAACGTGTTCTGTGAACTGAACTACTGTTTGGTGTTTGGCCACCTTCTGTCTCTGTGAGATAGAGTCACCCTGAGCATTTTGAGACTTCCATATTTTGCTGCCTGATCTAGCTCAGAATTTTATGGTAAGCATAGTACTCTTTCAATATGTCATCATCCCAGTACATTAAGAAGAAAACTATAGTCTTCTGAATCCTGCCTGTGGTCATAATCTTTCTGGGCTCACCAATCAATGCAAACAAAGCAAGTTGCATATGGAAGCCGGAAGGAAATGGATTCAGATCCAGTTTCATCTAAGATGTGGTCTCCAACCTTGGCAACTTTAAGACTTGTGGACTTTAGCTCCCAGAATTCCAGCGAAGCCGGCTGAGGAATTCTGGGAGCTAAAGTCCACAAGTCTTAAAGTTGCCACGGTTGGAGAGCCCTGATCTGAGATACCTAAAATTGCAACTTCACTTTGAGGGCGGGATATTTACAATTGGTCATAGTCATTATATAATCTTTGTATAGTCGTTATATAATCATTATATAATTTTGTACATTGTGCCACTACCTCCGCACACTTTCTCTGCCAAAAGAACAAAACCTTTCATCATTTGGCCATTCCCTTTCCTGTTCAGCTTAAGGTAATTTGGGGACAGTAAGAAAAGTAACGTGTTTTCCTAATGTGTGCGTATATGCAAGTGCATTTAGCAGATATATCATTTTTTCCATTGCATTCAGGACCGCAGTATGGGACCGTTGAAAGGGCTTGGCATGCATTTATGTCTGAAGCGGAAAAAGTAAGCGAATTACACCTAGAAGTAAAAAACGCTCTAATGAATGAGGATTTCGAGAAGATAAAGAACTGGCAGAAGGACTCCTTTCACAAGCAAATGATAGGTGGATTTAAGGAGACCAAGGAAGCAGAAGACGGTTTTAGAAAGGCTCAGAAACCATGGGCTAAAAAACTAAAAGAGGTGAGTAGTCTAAACTCTGTTTCCCCGTCACCTTAATCAACCGTGTCCTTGTTTTTCTGCTTTGGGGCTGCCTGGGTTGTCTCCAAGTATGGTTCGTTTGCTTTCTACTCAAACAAGTGGGGCTGAACTGATTCCAGTGTAGAAGCTGTTGGTCTATTTCTGGGCAGAATCTATTTATTAAAGAAATAACTAAACATCTTCTTCCTCAAAAAAAAAAAAAAAAGCCCAGTCCAGTTGCCTTTTGAAGAAAAACAAAACGCACCTTTGAGACCTGAATGACTGAGAATCTCCATAGACAGGATAAGGCATCGTACCATAAAACGTGCTAATAAAATCAGGATTAATAAACCAAGGAAGCTGTGAATGTATATGTTAATATAAAGCCAGTAACACTACTTATTCTATAGAAAGTTTTCCTCTGCAGCAGGGGTGTCAAACTCAATTTTATTCAGGGCCACCAGGGGGAGCGTGGCCAGCTCAATGTAACTGGCTCCGTTTTCATTGGCAGAGGTCTACAGGAGGCCATCGTGGCTGAAAATGGAGCCCGGGAGGGCCACGCGGAGTGCCTCCTCAGACTCCATTTTTGCTGGTTCTGTTACTTCTAAATTTCCTTACAAGCATCATTTTCTCAAGGTTGTGACTTTATGATCAACAAGTTCTAAAACACTAATCATTTTCAAGAGACATTTCCTCTAATTGTAACAGTATTTACTTTGAAACTTGCTATGGGTGGTGGTAGTGGTGGTGTTGTGGTTTTTACATTTGTTAAAACGCCTCTTCCATAGGTGGAAGCTTCCAAGAAAGCACATCATACAGCATGCAAAGAAGAAAAAATTGCCATATCCAGAGAGGCTAATAGCAAAGCAGACCCAGCGCTGAATCCAGAACAACTAAAGAAATTGCAGGATAAAATTGATAAAAGTAAACAGGATGTGCTTAAGGTAAATGGTATGAATTCTTGAAAGCATCACAATCTTTGTTTCTAATGAAAACTTACTTCTATCATGCTGAATTTGTAAGCCTTTTATAGTAAATGTGCCTAACCTTTGATTCATAAATAAAGATGAAGATGAAATAAAGAATGAATCCCAGGGAAAGCTAAAGGACCGTATTTCGCTTACCTTAACGCTGTTGCATGCATGTTCAGTTATTGTATACTTGATGGGTGTTTGCACAGACATGTGAGAAGAGAGAGAGAATAGATGACTTAACCTGAACAGTATAAAGCAGTTAATTGTTGCAAACAGACTGAAAACTTGTTACCACTTGAAGATGCAGTGAAATGTTATATACAGGTAGTCCTCGACTTAGGACCACAATTTAGCCCCAAATTTTTGTCACTAAGGGAAACATTTATTGAGTGAATTTTGCCTTAATTTACGACTTTTCTTGCCACAGTTGTTAAGCGAATCACTGCAGTTGAACAAGATCAAAAGCCAATGTTAGTCTATCTTCTAGTTTAGTTAGAGCACTGTTTAACTTACAGGTAGTCCTCAGTTAATGAGCGACCATTCAAAGTTATGACAGCCCTGAACAAGCATTGCTAAACAAGGGGTACTTAAAACCTTGTTCTGGTGATCCCAACACCACCACCATGGTCATGTGATTGTGATACAGCTACTTGGCAATGGACATCCCAGGTCGTATGAAAATCAATTGCAACTTCCCTGGTAGAGTCACACAAGCAAAATTAATGGGGAAGTGGCAGGAAAACTTACAAGATGTTCCTATAAGTTGTTCCCATTCCTACCACTCCCCCCCCCCAAAAAAAAAGAACCCAACCACAGAATACGAGATCTGGGCTCTTGTATATAGTGTGCATCTGCCTGCCTGAATTCCCTGCCTCCATTCTATAGTGAATGCCTGCACTTTGTGTACATTGGTTGTAACCCAGGTGGTCAAGTCAAGACAGGCCTTTAGAGAGTTCTTTATTACCCCCAAGAAGTGTTCAACAAACAGTCCTCCAGTGACCAGTAAGACTCCACCCCATGCTACCCTGAAGGCAGTCCCCCAAACAACAGCCCATATATTAGCAGGAAAGTCCACAAGCCAAAGTCCAGGTGTAAGACAAATAGCAATGGCACTTAGACTTATTTACCACTTTATAATGCTTTACAGCCCTCTCTAAGCGGGTGACAGAGTCAGCTTATTGCCCCCAACGATTTGGGTCCTCATTTTACCGACCTCGGAAAGATGGAAGGCTGAGTCAACCTTGAGCCTGGTGAGATTTGAATTGCCAAATTGCAGGCAGCCGGCAGGCAGCAGAAGACGCCTGCAATGCTGCACTTTAGCCATGGGGTACAAAGCAAAGGCAGTTCTGAAGGTAAAGCAAAGCAAGGGGCAAAAGCCGTTCCCAAGGCTAGGGCAAGACAAATGGCAGTCACGTGGCTTTTGCACGCAAAGCAAAAGCCACGAATCAAAATGGTGGCGAGTGTAATCCAAAATGAACAGTTGCTCCTGGCAAAGAGTAACACACACACCCCGGCTTCTCCTTAAGTCACTCTACTCCAGGGGTTCCTTAGGAGGATGGGTGGGGTGACCTCCTCCCGAGTAGCCTTGCAGACCTCCTTTGAACTTTCCTATGCTCTCCGTGCCCTTGGACCAAGTGGAGGAGGCAGCTGTTCCACATCAGAGGGGATCTGCTGCCTATCGGCACCACTGCCTGTCAGCAACTGATCCTCCCCTGGGTCTGCGAAGGCAGGCAGCTCTCCGTCCCATGATCCCCGAGGGGCCTGGTACAGCGTTGTCCTCAGCCCCTGACTTCTCCAAACATACCAAGGGAGATGTGCCATCCCTGTTGGATGGTCCAACTCCTCCTCCTCCGAACCAGGCTCCGGTGGAACCATAACAACGTCCTCCCGTACTCCACAGCAGCCACCTGCCAGCTACTCTCGCACCAAAGCATCCACCTGTGCAGCGTCCTGCGCTTTGCAGTATTTCCTCCCTGTCCACTTACACCACATTGCCCCCCATTGGCATGGTGCCCCAACACCCGCTCTCCTGCCCGCTTTCCATAGCACTCACCTAACTGTTGTCCTGCTTGTGAGCCACACAGGACTAGCAACCCTCCTACTGACTTTCACGTTGTCTTTGCTTGTTGGAAGCCAATGACCAGTCGTGGTCATATGCGGTCCTAACTTAATGACCCGCAATCCTCATTTAATAACAGCAATAGGAATTGCCGTTGCTAAGTGATGCAGTTATGTGATATTGTCCTTTACAACCACGCATAGCTCAAGTGATGGAAATTCCAGTCTGCTACTGCTGTTAAGTGAGGACTACCTGTGTTTGGATCTGTCATCTGAATTTTCTCACAGCCACAAGTCATTCTTTATTTCCAAATGACTTAAAATAGTCCTCTCCAAAGGAAAGTTTCATAAGAGAGAGTGACATGATTAGAATAGAATAGAATAGAATAGAATAGAATAGAATAGAATAGAATTCTTTATTGGCCAAGTGTGATCGGACACACAAGGAATTTGTCTTTGGTGCATATTATCTCAGTGTACATACAAAGAAAAGATACATTCGTCAAGAGTCAAGAATCATAAGGTACTGTTGTGGTTAACCAGCAGCAGGTGCAGACGGCTGAGGAGAGTGAGGACTCAGATGAGGGGCCAGGACCATTAGGGAGTGGACTGCTGCCTTCAGAGATTGTGGGGGCTGGCAGCAGTGATGAGGGGGTTCCTGAGGAGCTTGTGCCAAGTGCGCGTGAGCACAGGGCTGCTTATAGGAAAGAGCAGCTGCAGCAGCATGGGTGACTCAGGAGTAAGGCTGCAAGGTAATGGCCTCTCCTTCAAGAAGATAAAAGCCAGCTGGGAATCAGACGTTCTTTGCAGGAAGCAAAGACGTTTTGAAACTCGAGCCTTGTGGACATTGCAGTATCTTAGTTGGTATCTGAAGATTCTTGTGTTGTAAAATATTTCTATGTAACCTTATCTGTTATTCTTGGCAGCCTGGCACAGTTTTGGCGAGGCTCGTGCTTATCAAAGTTATTAAGTTTGCAGCAGCCTTTTAACCAGGGATTCATAAGAATCTTTAAAATCATTCTTAAATCATTAAAATCATGAAATTAGTAAATCATTAAAATCATTTCTGTTCCTTTTGGTTCGTGTTGATTTTATTGGACAAGGGTTTGGCTCGGAACAGGTACAACACTTAATAATAGTCATAGGGCACAATAAGCAATCAAATCATACTAGGAAAAAGTCAATAAAAATCGTTAGGATACAAGCAACAAGGTTACAGTCACACAGTCAAAAGTGGGAGGAGATGTGTGAAAGGAAGGATGGGAGGATTAATAGTGATAGTGATAGGAATACAGACTTAGTAAATAATTGGACTGTGTTGGGGGAATTATTTGTTTAGCAGAGTGATGAATAACGCAAATATCATTGTCAAATTATATAGCCATTGGAAAATTATATATCCATATTGACAACTTGATACCCTTAACTTTTAAAGACAAAAGAAAAGTATGAAAAGTCTCTTAAAGAGCTGGACAGTACTACCCCTCAGTACATGGAAAACATGGAGCAGGTTTTTGAACAGTGCCAACAGTTTGAAGAAAAACGTCTCCGTTTCTTCCGAGAAGTGTTGCTCGAAGTTCAGAAACATCTTGACTTGTCTACCGATTCAAGGTAAGAATTAAAGTGCAGGGTCTGCACCATAGAAGTAGCATTCTTTTCTGAAAAAAATGGTTTTGAAGCACCAGTTTACCCCCAAATGCGGCTGAACATTAACCGTACTTGTCAAGAATACACTGTATATTTGGTGCCTGCTGTGCTTCTGGCCAGCTCTTTGTTTTTAAAGACCTAAACTGCAGTTTTGCTGGATCACCTACGCTGCTCTATCAAACTGCCTGGCTTCTAAAATGAGATCAGGGGCCCTATTTAGGCACCCATTGAGAAAATCCATGTGATGGCCACCTACACAGAATGCCCTTCCCCAGAATGTGCCTTTGGTTAAAAAAAAACTGCCCGCTGACTTTATTTTGATGGGCCATGAAAACTTAAAAGAGAATTTTAAACGTGCCTAGTTCTAGAGCTGCTATATA